GCTCTTCTGCTCGTCGCCGATCCTTATATTCATGTACAAGTTTTTGAATACTCGAATGTACGTGTTTAATTTACACGTATTTGTTGATAACCTGACGCCGCTTGTCCTTATCCATCGCTTGCCTCCGCCAATTCAAGCAAATCAGTACCACTTGTCGTTATAATTGCCTAATTATAGCATATATGTTAGAACCGATGTGATTAAGTTTATAAATATTATAACAATGTTTGACAAGTAAAATAACAAGATCAGGAGGGTGTTTCATAAAAATTCTTAAGTGCTCGACTTAACTAAGTCTAAACTTAAGTCTTTGTTTTGTACACTTACGTGTTAATTTTGAATATTTAAGTCTGACTTAAGTCTAGACTTAGTTAAGTCGACCACTTAAGAATTTTTATGAAACATCCTCCGAAGACACATGGTTCCATGAAACTAAATAACATTGATTGGATGTAGTATCTTGTGATTAGGATTGAAGCCTATACTCTTTGCTTCATAGTTTAATAAAAATAGATCTCAGGTTTTACTCAATGGATGACATCTTAAGTTAAGGACCGACGATATAATCCAAGTCGATCTCGATTACTATTGATTATATAGAGATTTTATCCTAACTTGGTATTTTTGATAAGATGTAGTCAATAGAAGTTGACAGATTCACTGAACAATGTAGACAAGATTTATAGCAGAATATTCCTCACAATCTATGCAAAAACTATATAGGTTGTTACATTGTTACAGAATATTCACAGACTATTTGCAGAATTTTGAAAATTTTTGTAGATATTTTTACTTTTATAAAATATTTCTCTGTATATCTCAAAGAATTGAGAATGGGATTCAAATTCAAAACGTTCTCATCTTCAAATTAGTTGAATCTGAAAATTTGCAGTCTATGTGTTTAACTGTTAATCGTTAATTCTAGTATTAGCATCCTGTGTGCGAAAACTATCCAAAAAATAACGCAGTTGAAACGTCGTAGAGTTTCAATCGACTGGAGTACAGTTCAATCAAGGAATTGAGTAAATGCTTTTACATAAACCATTGATTAAGTTTTTATTGTGGAAACTATGTCATTTAAGGGGAAGTGCAACATTTTGATACAGACTTGCCATTCCAAATTATACACTAGATGATCAAATCAGTTCAATCATAAACGCTCTAAAGAAATCTAGCAATGTACAGGTTTTTGCCAGTATATAACATATGTGGAGCCGACCTGTTGTTTTCGTTTATGCTGCATAAAAACGCTTGCTATTTAGCGCACATTGATCTTCCTTCCTGTATAGTCAAAATTTTCTTACAAGGACAAACATCATCTATTAATTTTTTTTCTTGCCCTTTTTTGTATAGAAAAAAGCCTAATTAATCAGAATAAATATAGATTGAGATCAGTCATTCAAAAATTTTCTATTTTATTTTTGATTATTGCTGTTTATCTAAATAAATATTAGCTGACATACGCATACACATTTGGTTTAATTTGTACGCCCAAAGTTGAACTTGAATGTGTTTTATTTATTCACCACACTATCTTTCATTTTCATTCATCGTAGAACTACACTTTGCTCTTTTACTTTTCTTAAATCAACAAAAATGAGTCATTACCATCAGTAGACAATTGAAAATTATTAGGTAAAATACAATTGTTCCCTTAAAACAGCAACTTTTTTGAAAGTTGATTAGATAAAAAGTAAGTATTTAACTACCTCTGAACTTCAAAAGAATGAAAATGACTAGATATAAATGTATGTATATTTCTAATCGAATGTGAGTGACAACTTAAGGACAAGAAGGGATATTTGACTGAACTATTTTATCTACTCTCTTGAATTTTTCCTCATTAATGATAGTCACAATTGAAAACTTAAATAAATGTGAGTTTAGTCTGCGTTTTTGAATAAATATTGTAGAATATGTTTTTATTTTCTTTCACAGTGTATTCTGAATACTAAACTACAGTTTTCTGAAATCCAGCAAACATACAATTCTCTGTCAATTTAAAATGATATTCGATACGTCATTCTTCTCTTCGATCGTGTTCATCTGTATTATACTATTAATAATTAGTTTTGTTCTATCTTATACACTTGGAATTGTTATGTCAAATATTAAACAACAAAATGCTGAAATAAAATCATCAAAAAACAACAACGATCAAAATATAATACTTTATTTAAATCCATTATCCGATATTAATTTAGTTTGGGATGAAATCGATACTAAATTAATAATTAATTCTGTACAATTAAAATTACAAGATGATAATATAAATGAATTTTCCTCTGAATTATCTGATGATGCCGTTTGTGAATTTTCTGATTGTTTTGAATTAGAACTAGAAAAATCTTTAGAATGGAATAATGATAATTATGATGGAGATCTAGACGATATTTGGATATCAAATGAGAAAACGAGACGAAAAGGAAGCGATTGGTCGTTGTACAATATGGCTTAATCGATTTTTTTTTAATAAAAAAGGAATTTTGGCACAACTGAACAATGGATGGATATATGATACGTCTAAGATTTATAGTCATTTGTGATGGTTTTACACAATACTATCTAGATCAATAATCATAACTACATTTAAATTAGAGATTTATAAACTATTCTGTCGAAAACTCATTCTATTTCTGGCAATCTTTGATAGAATACGTATATATTTTTGTCCATTATACAGATAAAAAAAAGAAAAAAAATCACATTTTAATTTGAAGAAGTGATAACACAGAATATCAAAAGAGTAAAAACACGCATGAAAAATTCTAATAAAAAAAGTTTAAAAGATGCGTATTATTAGCTACCATTTTTAAACAAAACAAAGAATAAACAGAATATACGACTAGAATTATCATCAGTATATAAAATGAAAAAAACTTGAAAATATATGTGTTAAATTTTGTTATTAAATGTTGAAGTATGAATATCATGTTTTTCTGTAAATTCTTCTACTGTTTCAATAGGATTTTTATTTGTTTGATCATCACTGATTATATCCTGTATATTTTCTTTACCATCACTAATATTTAAATTTTCTTCATTCTGATTAATTTCTTTCGATTTTATCAACTCTCTTTCATATCGTATCAATTGCAATAGAAAACCTTCATTTGGAAATATTTGTGGTCGTTTATCCATTAATGAATGAAATGCAAGTTCCAATGTTTCATGATGATATTTCATTAAATATGCAAGAACAATTGTTGCCGATCGTGAAACACCAGCTACAAAATATAAAATAAATATCAATTAAAATGAGAAATTAGCAACAAAATAATTTGATTTACCAGCACAATGTACAAGACAACGTTCTTTTTTCAAAAAAATATCATGTAATAATGCATTTGTACGATCAAAATGTTGCTTGATATTAACATAAGTTGCATCCATTAGCGGTATTTCTATAACTTTGAATTTTTCATATATTTTCTCGGATAATTTAAAATCGCATACATTGAGGATATGTCCAATTTTTAATTGTTCTAATAATTCTACGTCTAATGCATGTTGAAAATTTCCAAGAAATAAAAAATCATCAAGAACAAGAGAGGGAGAAGTATTCTGATGTCCTAAAATGATTGGATATTGTGAACGATAATGTACTAACCTAAAATAAAATGAAAAAAATCTAACAAGAATTAAAACAGCCTCCAAATATTATTTGAAAGAATCGGCTAAAACTTTTTTAATGAAAAAAAATGTGGTAGAGATGAAAATACTCTCAATTGAAGTCTATCTTCAGACAGACATCGTAATGACTAGCCATACTGTTATGCTTAGTGAATAACCCATTAAAATTTTACTTGTTAATAAAAAGTGAAATGTATGTATACCGTTGAATATATTTCTTCTCATCATCTGTCGCATTCACAGTTGACATAAATACAGAATAATAGTGTGGTTTGGACATATTCTGTCTAATGGCTTCTGACAATGTCAAAAATAAGCGAAATTTTGAATTAGTCTATAAAAAAAATGTAAAAGAATTAAATACAAAGATTTAGTAGAGACGAAACTGGATATTTTTATGATTAAAGAACATAGTTTTTAACAACAACATCATACTTCATTCTACAGACTTTACGTGGCGAGTAATTGAAAACAAGAGTTAGATATTAGTGCTATCAGTAATGAAAGAGAAATGAGTTTTCGCACGAACAATGTGCTCGTTGGTTAAAATATATCTACTCGTATATTTAAAAATGCTTTGTTCATAATCTTTGTACGTTCGACTACAGTATTAAGTACAAGTATTAAATTGAGATCTAGTGAATATTCAAGAATGACGTCGAACAAAAACGAAAATTAAGCATATATTTAGTAGTAGAGAAAATAGTTATTCACATTTAACTCTACAAACATACTATTTACAGAGTTATATTCAAAGAAAAAATATTCGTCTTCTTCTTATTGACAAAGGGTCCCAAATAATCATATGCATAGTAGTATAAAAATATTCAGTCCTCCAAAAATACATGGTAATAATTTATTTATCTACTTTTCGATAAATATTCATCTCAACTCATAGTTAAATCTATTGCGCAAAACAAGATAAAAAAAATGAATGGTTACAAAAAGAAAAAATTATTTTTATCTTTATCTACATTATTTTTTTTAGTGTAAACACATCATAATCATCGTAATTTTAATTCTAAAGTCCCCATGCAAAAAAGCAACTTAACGAAAATACTAAATAGCAATAGTAAAATTTCTTTACGAAAAACTAGCAGATCAATTAGCTGGAAATCGCTTTTATTCTCTCTTACAACAAAATTGTATCTGAAAAATCTTAAATATGATGGTGGCAGGATACCATTACCGATTTTTGATGTACTCTTTCGTCTTTCTTTCAGCATTTACCTTATACTTTAACCTGAGTGACAAGGCGAAGAAGAGAAAAGAACACGTCTCTATTAAGTAAACAATAAAGCTAAATACACTTCCCCAGGTTACCCAACTATTTAGAACGGTGAATAAGGGACAATGGGCGCTACAAGAGAGTTTCTCATTAGGATTCTTTGAAACGATGATACTCACCCACTGAATTACGCGCGTAATAAATCGCGTAAAAAGATGATGAATTATCTTCATTTACACGCTATCTAACAAAGATGCGATTTGTCTATTGTATTGAGTTTTCTTGTGATTATTGGATGTATCTTAATAAAAGATTTATTCTTCAGCAGTTGTTTGCTTGATTTGGTTTGGTTCAACTAGAATGAGTGAAATATCCAGTGAAAATGACGAAAAACATCATCAAGAAGAAGTGAATAAATTAAGTGCATATGTGAATCGGAACGGTAGTGCTGCCCTCTTGTTCTCCTGAATCTTTTTGATAAGGTTCGTTATACAATCTTAAAAATGGTTATTTGACGTGAAAAATGATGAGCTAGTCAATCAGCTTAGTTCAGAAATTTGCTTAAATTTCAATGACTTTAGGGAAAATGCAGACTATAGTTTCTGCTTGTATGTGAGAAACAGTGACTTTTTACAGTATGCCCTAAGAACAAAAGATAGCCCAAATTTTTTCTTATTCTTCTGTACCTAACTAGACAAAGAGTAAGCTGTAAAACGGAAAAAAAGAGCGTTTAGATCACAGACTTCATCCTTATGAAGATTTATTTGGAATATTTTACCCTTTTTAGTGAACAATCGTTATTAAAATATTTAAACGGTGACACTTTTCTCGATAAATTTAAGCTGTAGACAAAATGCTTGCAACAATTCATATAATACTTGATTACAGATAGAAAACATAGCATATATTACTTTTCTTCTTCTAGATAGAGCAACGGATTGTTTTGTTACATTGTTTATTTATCATGTTTTTATTTTCTATCTCTATTTTTAAACCTCCTAATACTATATGAGAATATCTTATTGATCGACTTATTTACCAAATAAATTGCGAATTTAGTTCACACAATACATCAGATTATAAAGTGTGATTAGTTTGAAAAATATGTACACAAAAGGAAAAGGATCAAATGTTCCATCTGATGCACAAGCCAAAGAAAAGTGAGATCAAAATTCTTTAATTTTAAAAAATACTATACATTTTTTTAAAACAGTTTTTCAAAAAATACTAGATTGTTTTTCTAGTCTGATGCTAAATTCTATTTTTATTTCACCTAATTATTATAAATTCAGGTTTTAAGTAGTATGATCGCAATATATTTTGTTTTCGTTTTTAGGTTGGCTTTGTACGTCTACGAATATCTATATCACATTGGTGCACAGAAAAGTGCGCAGACTTTTTCTACTGAAGTAAATAAATACCTATAAACCTGCTCGGTGCGAATATATCTATTTAATTTATTTTAGATGAAATGGGACAACAGTAAGGTAGCGGTTGGTGAAACTCCAGGTTTTCTTTGTTCATGGTGGTGGTAAGTAACTTTTACCCTGCAGTTTCTATTAATTGTCGGTATCTCATTCTAGTGTTTTCTGGGATCTTTATTGTGCAGCACCAGAACGTCGTGAACAATTTAGTCATTCAGAAGAAGCAAAAGCATTTCACGATTATGTAATTTATTGTTGAAAGTACTAACTCTTTCACATTAATTCTTATTTCTTTTTTCTCAGGGTTTTATCTCATCTAATTTTCCACCAAATGGAATGCCAAATGTAAGTATATTGGAAACTTTTTAGCGTTGTTCTAGGAATCTCTTCTACATTTAGAATAATTTGAATTCTAACGCTAATCCGTTACAAATGAACACAAATGACACAATGCCAAATGCGACCGTGCCATATTTTTCGGTTTGTTGTAATTTAATGTTTTTATTCGATGTTTAATTCAATAATCTAGTTTATTTGTAGCCACCAAATGGTCAACACAATATGCTATCTCAGCCGGTAATATTGTTTATTCCCTAGTGAAAAATTTTTATGTAGTTTTTTACTTTTTTTATCTTAGTTTATGCGATATCCAAATCCACCACCTAGATCTCTTGTACGCATACCTGGTCAGCCGGATTATAATGTAAGATTCATAGCTGTGTGAAAATATATGATAACAACTATTTCATTTTCTTATTATATTGAAGGGTCCAAAAACATTGTTACCGCCGAACTTAGAGCCTAGTCGCAATGGTAAATATATATACATCTATATCATCATTTTTTGAACAAAGCTTGAAGTTCTTTTTCTATTAAGTTCGATTAACGTCGCCAGGTAATCGCTCGTTTCGTTCCGTTCAGGGCATGCCGTCTGCAATGTCACCATCAATGCCAATGGGACAAAATCAGGTTGTGTCGGGACGATGGAATATGACAAATTCACCGGTAAATAGGAAACAAACTCAGTTTGAAGTCAGGAAATAATTTGTATCTGGTTATAGATCAGTTATTCTTCTTCATCTCCTGTGCCAGTACCGTTTGGCGTAAGTATTAAAAAACACTTAAATTTGATCTAAAATCTATTCTTCTCTTAACAAATTTTAGGCTCCATGTGCTCCAATGACCAGTCCTCAGGGTTTGTATTCCTAATTCATCAGTAGTGTTAACCGTCTTTTAGTTACAATTAATTTTGCTTGTTTAGATTCAAATGGAGGAGAAATTCCCCCTTATGCAATGAGATCTGGCGGTATGGGTTCTGGTTTATATCATGAGCCGCATATGTCGCATATGCAACCTGACTTAGCCCATCACGGACAGATAAACGGTAATGATTCTTTCGTTGAATTTGTTACGAATAAATTTTTTCATCTTTTTGTTTATTTAAGGAGAATATGATCATATAAAACATTCTCATTCTCCAATGTCTGCATCACAACAATCATCAATGTCCAATACTGGTCCCCCATCCCATCTTCCTCCGGATATACAAAACTTTCCTCCATACAATCAAGAATCAGTAAGTAATGTTTATATTCAATAGTGCTATTAAAATAGATCTGCTCGACTATTGAACCTTCAATTTTAGGATCATAGTAGCGGTGATACTGAAGCAATACAAAAATTAAAAGAATCTATACAGGAAGAAGTGAAGAAGTTTGATAAAGGATCACAACCATTATCGGCAAATTCAGATGATTATCATTTTCAAGGAATAGGATAATAAATACTTGTCTCTAGTTTGTTTGTACTAATTGTTCTAACATGCAGGAACTAACATCTCATCAAAATTGCAAAAATTAAGAGCAAAAGCACTACTATTTTATAAAAAGAATTGTATTGTCTATTTTCATTCATATTTCAACAGAAAAACACTCGAGATTAATAGTTTGTTTGCACTAGTATTTTCATGAAGAATACGTTGTTTTGTAAGCAGTTTTTTTTCTAACTTTTCTGTTTTTTTCGTTCTCTTGTTCTGTAGTTCATTAAATACAATGTATTTTGTGTATTTTAGTCTTCTGTTTTTTTCTAAATGAATGAGTTGTATGTGTGAGTGTTTGTTTGTTCGTATTTTTCTTGATGTGTACAGCAAATATTAAATTCAGTAGTTGTTTTTTTCATATTAGCAGCAGTAGAATATACTCTTTCAAATGAATTAATACTCTTTTTCTAAAGTATTGCTTTCTTTTTCTCTCTTATATCTAGAGAACAGTGAATGTGAAAAATCTCTTAATCTAAATGCATCTTGTGCTTATAGAGTATCTGTTTCTTTTCAAGGTCGCTAATTTCATATTTGTTCAGAGATCCATACAGCTACTTCATACATCTTGTTTATTATTTTCCTACAAAACATTCCGTTGATAGGATTATTTTCAAACTTCTTGTTAACTGTTTTTGCAATTTAACAACAATTTCATAATGGATTTTAAAAAGTGGAGCAAAAATGAAAGGAGATGGTTTTCCAAGAAACTGGAGCTTTTTTTTATACTGATTTCTCTCTCTCTCTCTCTCTCTCACAAAGATCTTTGTCTCTTCCATGTAAGGGACGCAGAAACACATTTGTTGACTAGGTTCCTTTTTTTTTCTATATGTATGTGTGCGTGTTTGTGCGGATTTCTATAAATATGAATATTTTGTATTTGTTTCATAATTTTTTCTAATATGTATATGTTTTTTTCCTTCTTTTCGCCTTTTATGTATGTATAAAAAAATATAGATCCGAATGCGCTCTTGTTTTCTCTTGTTTTTGTTTTCTATTTATATACAGTAAAAATGCATCATATAAGACAAAAAAGAAGTCCTGTATTCATCAAACAGTAAGACACTCTTCAGTAGTCTAAAGGTCTTTTAGAAGCTTATTCTAAAAACAGAGGTTGTAGTGCATATTATAGCGTTTCCAGTATGATATGAAAAGAATTTGCTGTTAGTAGTCGAGTACGCTTTTGTTATTCTATAAGATAAATGCAGCAATAGTCTAAAGGAACCACAAAATTGTTCAGTAGTCTTTAGTACCTATAGTAAAGATTGGCGCTCTATTGTCATAATCACAGCGTTGAAACACGAAAAATTTTATCTTCCCTTGCTTTTTCTTTATTACACTTCCAGAGTAACTGGAATTAATTAAACCTCGCACGCTTACGCTCTCTCGGATAATATAGAAACATTTCTTTTATGTCTAAGCATGTGACAGTGCATAAATTACCCAGTAGGGCGATAGTATTCGTGAAAGATTGTTTGTGTTATCAGCGTCTATTTTATTCCTCATTTGCGGCTTCTAAGCATTGGTTCAAGTTTATAGCAGTAACATTTTTCGATGGCTTTTTAATCTGCTTTGAAAAGCACATAAAAATAGAATGATATGTTTAAAAATGAATTAATTACATGTTAAAATTAAAGAGAAGTATTATTTCTTTTTTACTTATGAATACTACTATAAATATGAAGAGTACAAAATCAAGCATCTGAATGTAATACTCGATTTCATTTCTTTGATGTTTGTTTTCAATGTTTAGACAGTGTTTGTTCAAATCGCTGTATTCCAATTTCGTTCGTTCCAATTCGTTCTAATGAATTGAAACGTCTAGCTTATTGCTAAATCCCAGACGTATATGATACATGAAAAAAAAGGTCTATGCTACAGATCACTTGTGTGATTAAAAACCATAGTTGTCATATAGACGTAGTGACCTTTCTAGTGTAAGACATTTGCCTCTGTATATGTTAACCTACTTGTGCCCATCATTGGTTTTGGCAATCATCATTTTTATATAAAATTTTCTTGTCTGAGGGATATTTGTATAAAAACTCAAACTAAGATCTAGCTGATCAGGGTGGTTAAATGTTTCCCCATAAGAGGGACAGTCTCACATTTTCTCTCTCTCCTGAAGTCCTCTTTGCAAGAATTTTTTCTTCTGACTGTCTTCAATAGAAATTTCAGCCTTTTAGTAGGTATCGTGTGTTTCTTTAATTTTCTCAATTACATTGCAACGTCGAATGATGTGTTTTGTCTTGCCTCTCAATTATTTTTTGCGTTGGGACCCGTAAAACGTTTTTGCGACAAGATTTATTTCAGTTGACGAAATAACATAAGACTGATACAACATTTTATTAAAATTATGAGAAAAGTTAATGAAATGAAAAGAAAGGACGTTGATAGTTTTAGAAAACCTAAAAGCATTTAACTCTAGTAATATACTGCAATTTTACTTCAGAAATAGTAAAAGACCAGAGGTATCATACAATATAGCTTAACAAAGATGGTCTCGAATATAAGCCATTTGGTCTAGGTTATATGCAGGACACATTCGAAAATTGTAGGGTACATTTGGAATGTATCCTACACGATTAATGAAATGTTGCTTCTGTTTTAATACTTTTGGCATTTCTTTCATTTGAAATGCTTTTAATTCTTCACAAACGGGCAGATATTTTAAACGATCACGAACACTATCAGCGAGATAACCGTATTTATGTTTAGTTTTCTCTTTTTTTATTGTTACTGAGTTTTTATCTAATCCTTTTCGCTCTTCTATCTTATCATCACCTATTTGGATTCTTCTGGAATTATCGCGACGTATAGACTGACGATTTTTATTATTCATTCTCGATTCATTGAAATTATTATTACGTCGCCTGGATTTCTCTTCATTAACGTTTGTTTTGGTCTTATTCTCAGTTTCTTGATGATTACTTTTATCCTCATTATTGTTACCGTCTGGGGTTGAATATTGACGATCACTATCTTTCTGGGCTTGTTTAACGAGACAATCGTATAATAGATCGAATCTATCAATATCATCTAAGATTCGATCTGGCAATACTAATCTTTTGACGGGTCTATGAACAAGGAACGAGGACTCACATTTTTTACTAAATACGTTGTATAAAATCAACGATGTTACAACACTGAGGTCTTCGACAATGTTCGCCGGATAATCTCCTGTTGCCTCATTCTCTTCATCTGGTTCGTTCATTTGTTTTTCCACATTATTAACACCTACGACCTGTTGTCTTTTGTTGCAACGCGCTTTCCTTTTCGCCGGCGAAATAGAATAACCGTATTTGACAAAACATCCTTCGCCTTCAGGTATATCTTTTTCTTCATCCTTTTCTCTCTGCGTTGGTGCTAAAAAATTACAAATCAAAGTTATATTTGTATCAAAATAGTTTCTATGACATATACGAAGTTCTAGACAGCTAAAATATTGATTGTAGTTTTGTTGCACGCACTAGTGCTGGTACTTATTTACATTTTGACCTACTTTGTTTTCCTTTCTTTTCTTTACCTGCGCTTTGTGGATACTCAGATTTAACATTTTCATCTCTCTGTGATGTATTCGCGTGTAACATGTATTGTTTTCGACTATGGAATGCATTGTAATGTAGCAACTTCTTCATTTTTACGTTAATTGTATCGTTTTCTTTTATTGTTTTATCTGTTAACCACTTCAAAAATTGTCTTGAATTAATTTGTTCGATAAAGGAACGAATTGTACCATCATCGATAAGTGACTCTTGAAAAATATCTAAGTTCATAATTTCGACTAATGACTGGCACAAAAACCAATAATTACCTGATATGTCCTTTTTCACTTGGAATTGTTCAACTGATTGGTTCAGTTCTGTCGCTTTTGTATCAACTACATTCATTCCACTATTAGACAAAGACTTCTCAGTATCGTTTGCACTGTAATCATTAGTAATGAACGTCAACAATGGAAGGGTTATTCGCAGACTCTTGATGGCCTTCTCTTCTTCATCCATGATTCACTTCACTGAGTACAAACACAAACAAGACGAACACACAACGAAAAGAAATGAGAGTTGATAGACAACCGAATAGAGTTTTTGAGCATATGGCGCGTTGATGTTTGAAGCATTCTCTCTAAAACCAGTACGTATTCAAAGGTACACTACTTTTGACCTCTGTTTTTCGCTACAACCAAACACAAGCGTGAACGCTGCTTTAGATTAGCGTAAGCATGATAATGATATTCGATGATATTTTTTCGCGAATTGTTATCTAACTGGTGTGTGGAATACTATTAACGGAGAACAACGTAACGAGATATTTAAAAAAGGAAGAAAAAGTTTCCTGAACTGATAAATGCTAGACGAACTGAAGAGATAATACTAATAACTAACTGAGAATAAAGCGACAATACGAAAAAATTAAACTTAAAAGATATTATTATGTTGTAGTGTATGAAAAGTATCATAATGTGTCTCCGTCTGACAAATTTTAACATCATTAACAGATGAAACTGCTAGTAAATTAATACATGGTAAATAGTGCATTCGCTAAGAAAGTTTTCTATTCCTCCATGGTTGTTCACTGGATCATGAAAGCCCCATTTTTAAGATTAGTAACAACTTAGCTTCATTATAGCGTTAGTTAGCATTGAATATTTCAGATTTTAAGATAAAGTGTACGTTCATTCACATATTTTTAATTGAACCAACTGTCTAATTATTGTTTTGTGATTCTTATGGATTTATGGATGACCATTTTAGTAAAAAGTTTCTTGATGTTACATTTGAATTAAGTTCAACAAAATATGAAGCTGTAGAAAATATTGGTACGTTTTAATAACAAAATTGAAAACAAAAATTTCAAAGCGTACTTTTAGGAAATGGAGCATATGGCGTTGTTTGTCTGGCTTTGAACAAAAAAACTGGTGATAATGTGGCAATTAAAAAAATTGCAGATGTATTTAAACATTGTTTATTAGCAAAACGTACCTTTCGTGAAATTAAAATATTAAAGTATCTTAAACATGAAAATATCATTGCTATTCGAGATATATTTACAACAAATAAAGATAATGAAACTGAAGTAGAGAAGGAACAGAATACGTCGATAAAGGATGTATATATTGTATTTGATTATATGTATACTGATTTACAAAAAATTATGCAATCTAATCAAGTATTATCAATTGATCATATTAAGTATGTCTATTACACATGTCAACATTATATAGTAAGTTTTTGTGCGTTATATTTTTAGGTATTTTACGTTTCAAATCTTAAATGGAATTAACTATATGCATTCTGTTGGAATTGTATGCCTTTTTGACATTTATTTAATTCATTATTTCTACATGATTCTTTAATTAATCAGATTCATCGCGATTTAAAACCATCAAATATTTTAGTGAATCAAACGTGTGATTTGAAAATAGCTGATTTTGGTAAGATGAGATTTTTATTATTTGTCTCGAGCGAATCATCTTCACGTATAGAGTTTTCAGGTATGGCACGACAGTATCGACAACATGATCAAACACAATATGTTGTGACTAGATGGTATAGAGCTCCAGAAGTGATACTTGGCTACACAGAATACAATCAGTCAATTGATATATGGTCTGCAGGCTGTATACTAGCAGAAATGTTTGGACGAAAACCATTATTCTCGGGTATTTTAACAATGTACCTGTTCTGCAATTTAAAGTATTTTATAATTTTTCTTTAGGTGCCGATACTCTGGCACAATTGAAACTCATCTTCGTTATATTAGGAACGCCATCGAAACAATTTTTAAATTCGTTACACAGTGATGTTTTTCGACGAATTATATTGAGTAAAATCATTGAACAATATTAGTTTTACAATGCTTAGTGGCATCTATTTCTATAGGTGCTGGTAGTAATCGAGAACCAGTTAATTTTCAAAAACTCTATCCAAATGCAAGTAGCCAAGGCATTGATTTGCTTTGTAAAATGCTGATTGTTGATCCTGTACATCGAATTAGTGCAGAAAATACGTTAAAACATGATTTCATTAAAGAATTTGTTACTGATAATGATCAAATAGTGAAAAATGAAAGCTTTGATTTTACTTTTGAAAGACAGGTACGTAACAGAATCGAATTTTTTGCACTAACGGGGTCTAGTGATATCTGTTTAGAATTGGACTGTTGAACAAGTAAAAAATGCGATTTTAGAAGAAGTACAAAGTTTTCGTCAATCCAATTACCGTTATAAAACAAATGATACCAAAACAAATGAAAAAAATATTGGTGATCCATTATCCGCTGAGACGTTTTGTAATAAAAGTAAAAATGACACTGATTTGCCATCATTATCACCATTAGAAATGGATCGCTTATTCTCAAAAGACACGCAAAGTAAACAAGATTCTGTTATTATTATTGATTCTCCATCCCCGATTGAAAAAAATTCAACAGTTAACAAGATTCTTGAAATTGATCCAACACGATTACTAATCAAACGAAAATATTCAAGTGTGTACGTTACTAATAATAAAATAATTAGTATCAAATTGTCTCTATTTAGAAAGATGTGAAAAACATTTACAACGTAAACGAACACATCAACATTTCAATGATAATAACAAAAAGCCAGTAGTAGTCACAGACGGAGTTTGTGAAGAAATTGTTGCCAGTCCTTAAAACTTGTTGCACTACTGCTCAACTACTGATACATAAAGAGTGATGTTAGCTGCATCTCCTTTCTCCTCAGAGAACGATGTGATATTTTTTTATTTTTTGTTTTTGATCTGAAATAACAATGTCTGTCTATAGTATTTTGATTACCATAAGAGTATTAAGTTGGCAACAAAGTTTTTGCGTTATTTCTAAAGATGGAGGAAAGAAAAAACGCAAAAACTTTTTTGCCTAATATTTAAAATACTGCTTCATAATCACTACTACGACTCTGAACATGTCGTGTACTTAGTAAAATGTTAAATTAGTTGAGGATTTGTATGTCTTTACTAGTCGGTAGAGTGACATCTGTAGCCGAATCCACAGTCGGATAGTATGGAGCAGAAAAAGAGTCGATCGATCAGAAACAAAAGTTTTGATTAAGTGAGCTAGTTCATTTCTGACCACCACCGCGTTCGCTTGATAACAGAGTTTAGATATGTTTACACGGATTCTGGACTTCAAATTATTCAAGTTCTTCGCATGCAAAATGCAAAAAAAGACATAAATTGCCCTAAAACAGACCGAGTGGCATTTTTTGCTAATTTCTTATCTGCATACACTGTAAAATAAATTCGTCTTAAAACAAGATGGAAGAAGCTAGAACTAATACTGGCAGCTTATTTTAAGAAGAATGAATCTTGATGTCGTCTAATTTTCGTCAGTAAAGATAGTCATAAGATGTTAGTAATCCCTCGTATGATTGAATTTTCCAGTGGTCTACTTATTTCAAAGACGAAAAAATTTGACAGATTTAATCTACACAAATCAGTAGACTTGTGGATCGAAAGAGAACAATTTTCTCTATCGAATGTATATCCAACGACCACCTTGTGTTATAAGAAATTTCGGCGCTAAGTGTAGTTCAAAAAGTTTCACAGGTAGGTGACACCACAAGGCGATGCGAGGTCGCTGCCTGTTACAAAAAAGCATAAAGTTATCTTTTCTCTTTCCAAGAACGAAAATCGCAGGTCTCTAGCTACTTCAGTTCCGGAGTTATTCAAGTCACAACCGGATGCATTGTTCATTGAAATAAATGAAAATTAGTAAGGTGCTCCAAATTCAAAAGATATCCAGATCAAAATCTTACACGATCTTGTTTAATCCCACAAGATCTTATAAATTCTTATGGAAAATCATAGAAACGGATTCATCTTATAAAATCTTATTAAAATCATACAAGAATCTTACGAAATCTGATGAAATCTTACTATAAGATCTTACATCAGGGATCAGTTGCTATGTTTCTTACAGAATCTTACAAAATCTTATATGACTCTTACTAAATCAGACGGGATCGTCCAAGAATCTGATAAGATCTTACAGCAAGGTTCTTTGACCTGGGTAAGAAGAAAAATAGATATCGTTGAAACATACATGGTTGAATAGAGCTCATCGAGCTGGTTCCGAATATCGCCTTTTTATCGAACTCTGATCAAGTTTTGGGGAGAAATCCTCAAAAGGTCACAAAAAGTGAAAAGAAAAAATCAAGATTTGACCGTTTTCCGTTCACTCTAGTTTTTCGAAACTATTTTTATTTGGATTCAGCATCAAAAAGTGCGTATATCCATGTAGGTTTGACAGCAGTTCATCGTTCTGATATCTGCGACCAGGACGGACTAAGTTCGTCCAAGGACGTTTTGACACCCTATTCTCCCAAACCTATGTAGTCTTTTGTTTCAAGAGCTATCCCCAACTATCATACATCACTCGAATCACCATCCGACAGTGAACAAAAGTATGCATCAATTTAAGAAACTTTCATTTCTCCGCTGAGAAAAGTCATCATTAGTGTAGCAAAAGGCAAAAAGTCGGAATTCTGCGTACTTTCCAATTTTCTCCATCAGAACACACTTTTATGAGATAAAAATAACATATTCGCAGTCAGCGTCGAAAACTGACTCGAATGGTATAACTTTTTATCCTATCTGACCACCTTTGTCTTTTTCGAATTTTCGAAAAATTACTGAGATTTGCACAAAAAAAATGAAAATCAACGAG